TATATTTTCCCAGGGACACCTCAAACCACCTGATAAGACTTGCGATGCGCGTTTGACAGGGAGCTCGAGAATTGCTTGCATCTGGAACTGTTCCCAGCCGGTTTGTTCAGCCCTGGCACGAAACAGCTTTAAATACCTCAGCGTGGGTGGAAAGCAGCCTGCGTATCGTAATAGGGCACTGGGGTTCAAACAAAATGGAGACTGGGGTTCAAACAAAATGGAGCTCCTTGCCTGAAGCACATTTCCCACAATGCTGTGGGGCATGAGCTGCAGCCCTTGGACACCTGACCAGCAGAGAGAAGACAAGATGGTCAGATGTTGATTTAAAAATACAGTAGGACACTATTCTACCTAGTAGCCTATTAGCACCTGCTTTCCTGTAACTGTACATAGACGAGTTTATTGATGTTCTTATTTTTCGTTCTCAGTACAGCTCATTGACATTTCCCTGCAGACTACTGCATCAAGACCCAAAGGCCCCTACTCTGCAGACACAAGTCACAGGGGGCTTTAAAGAAAGACGCTGGCACAACTCACATAAACGATAACGCCCCTGGACCGCAAACACAAGGCCCTCATCTAAGTAGCCCTAAAAACATTTGCTGGTTTCATCGACAAGTGATGGTTTCACTGGGGGGGGAAAATCACCCCGGGCAAGCTCTCCGGTTGCATATTCTCTCGCAGCAAACAAATTCCCTTTTGCATCCACGGTCACGAAGATTTTTCTTATAGAGCCTGTCGCTATGGAACGGGGGTAAATCATGCACGTCTCCGAGGGGCTATGACTGACCCCGCTCGCTGTGAAAGGGACTGACGGCTCTTTGACACAGACCGTCTTGCTGGGGAGCCGGCATTCGTGTGTCCAGACACAAGCACATAGGGCGATTGTGAATTCTTTCCCTCTCTGTTACTGGCGGCAGGAAACACACAGCTGTTAAAAAGCAGAAGCCACTTACAAAGAGTACCAACGGCCACGTAACTAGAGCCAAAGAAAAGAAATTCCCAAGACAAAAAAAAAAGAGAATGATCAAGCTTATTTAAGAAGAACTGCTGAAAATGACACCAGTGTCATGCCCGTTTTTAAGATAACGTTGCATACAGCTGCTTTTAACCTAAGCCTAATAGCGGTTCAACACACTTTTCCAGGATGTAGTCAAGGTAATGATTCATTTCAGGGATAAAAAGAAAGAGGGGTGAAAAAAACAAGACAGCTGTCACGGTATCACCAGTGAAAAGCTCGCCTGAGATAATTGCCGTTTGCTTCTCAGAGCCCTGCTTTTCAACAGCAGACAGCCCAGGGCTGCAGCTCTGAAGGTTGCTGCTAAGAGCGCGTCATTCGTTTTCAAGGTGACCACCCAGAAAAGCAGGACAGACACACCGGACTGTGGTCTTATTTAAAAGTGTCTGGCAGCCTTCTCAGCAAATCAAGTCTGGCTCGTAGCACCTTGGGCTATTACAAAAATTACAAACACCTGCTAAAGGTGGGTGCTGTCAAAAATGCTGATTTGTTTTAGCATGTACTGACCGAAATTGAATTTAAAAACTGGCTACTTCAACCCTTAACTACTGCACTAACAGCATCCTATCCTAAGACAAGTCAAAGGAAAATTTGCCTTGAAAATCATCTGGGCTTTTGCATGTTAAAGTAGTAGAAAGATCCTCTCCAATTAAAAAGCCCTATTTGTCTTGTCTGGTGGGCCCTGTCTCCGTGTCAATAGTGCTTTAAGGATTCTGAATACTGACATTTCCTAGGTTTAATTTGATTTTATACCACTTAGACTAGTCTATACTCATCCTTCCATACTGTGTAAAGATCCCCTGGGCCATACATATTTGCATTCTGGCTGCCTGGAAGTGCCGGAGAGAAGCCTTGGGCTTTCAGGTAATCAGATTTCCCTCAGCCAACACAGGAAACTTAGGCAGGTTAAGGAGAACGCAGCTCTCTGGCTTTGCATTACTGAATGATTACTGATCCACAGTGCAACCACAAAAATGCAGGAATTTGTAATAACTTCTTTGTGCATTATACAAGCCACATTACAAGAGAAGCAGGGTACAGGGCTACGTTAACGCACTCAAATAACACCAGCAACTATATCACCCTGCAGCGCACAACTGACAACCCAGGTGTGAGCCTGGTCAGTACCTGGATGGGAGACTCCTAGTAAAAACTGAGGTTGCTGCTGGAAGTGGTGTTAGTGGGACCAGTAGGGGGTGCCCACCCTGCAGTCTGTGTGGGTCCTAATGCCCCAGTATAGTGAGGGGGACACTATACTGTAAAAGGGTGCTGTCCTTCAGATGAGACGTAAAACCAAGGTCCTGACTCTCTGTGGTCATTAGAAATCCCAAAAAGTGAAACTGTTAAAAGAATAGGGGTGTTACCCTAGTGTCCTGGCTAAATTTCCCCCTGGCCTTTACCAATCATGGCCTCCTAATTTATCCCCATCTTTGAACTGGCTTCATCACTCTGCTCTCCTCCCCACTGAGAGCTGGTTTGTGGGGAGTGTACTGGTGCACTATGGCTGCCATCGCATCATCCAGGTGGGGCTGCACACTGGTGGTGGTGGAGGGGAGTCCCCATGACCTGTAAAACGCTTTGAGTGGAGTGTCCAGAAAGCGCTATATAAGTGTAAGGATTATTATTACCTTGAAGGCTCTCTCTTGAGACCAGTTACAATTTACAAGACCAGCCTATGGAAGAATGAAGGTGAGGGACAGGATGTGACAGAAAAGAAGAATTTTACACAGTGAGAATTAATAGTGGTCAGTCAGAAAGGGGTATTTAGACTATGAATCTCCTGAGGTCTCATCAGGTTTGGCCTTTTGTCTTTACAAGGCCTGACAGCCAGCACCTTTTCCAGCGATCTTAAGACAAGCCTGAGCTCAGCCTACATGCAGGAGCTCATTAAGGCCATCGGGGGTCACTAGGTCACAGAGGGATCAATGCTCTTCATTGACATCCATGTGTATTTCAATGGCCATAAATCAGCCCTCAAACACCGCGATGCACAGAAGTTCACCCCGTCTTCGTACACAACAAATGGGAAAACTGCTGATGTGTTTTTAAAAGATAAACGGCCGTTTCAGCTTCACGTCTAAAGTGTTTTGTTGATTTTGCCTTTAATGCATTCACCTCACTGGTTTTTTGCAGGGGTGCAAATAAGCAGCCATAATCTTTGCCGTGTTCTCATTCTGATCACACTTTTACTAGGAATCTTATGTGAAATCCATCTTTATTAAAAACAACTTTTAAAAACATTTAATTACATTTAAAACAGTGTTTTTCAGTGAGTTCATTTCTACTCGGCCTTAAATGGAACATTTATTTGCTGCAGCTTGTTCACGGCAACTTAAACAGATATTGATACATATATAAATGTATATTTTGATTAATATAAAACACTAATATCTGGCTAAAAAACTATATTTGACAAGACTGAAGCACTGACACCCTCTAGTTTGATCTCTTCACACCTTAGAAGTTAACCACAGCTGGACCTGGTTAGGACTGGGGTAGGAGACCTTCCAAGGAAAAATAATGTCGGTGGATCAGTGGGAGGCGCTCTACCTATCTCTGGATCAGAACTGAATCTAAACCACTGCTCCAATATGGTGACAGGGCTGGATACCATCATTCCATAATTGTCATCATGGGGCTCTGTTTTTCCCCCACAGCAGACAGAATAGAGCAGCAGCTCTTGCAAGTTGTTGCCGAGAACAATTCATTTGTGCTCAAGGTGAATATTCCGAAACGACAAGGCGTGGCAGACAGGCCGGGCCGTGGTCTCGATGGAAGGTGCCAGAGAACATTCCTGAGCCGAACACCAGAGGACTGGATTTCCCTATCCTGGACCCAGAGAACCACACACACACACACATACACACACACACCCCCATTTCAGCCCAGCTTAAAAACTACTCAGTGTCTGGACCGGAACGTTTGTGCATCTTCTTTCTACCCAAAAGTTGGGAATTTTATGTCCCTTCCAAAATGCAATAGTTAAAAGGCAACCCGTTAAAGAGAGAGCTGGAAATGGTCACAGAGTTCAAATGAATCCTATTTTTAAGTCAGCTAAGGGTTCGACTGTGTAGCTGAGCTGGGCTGAAACCAGAACCAGCAGGTGTGCGGGCCTCCACAGCCAGGACAAAACACATCTGTGAGCCAGTGGCCAAGAACAGTAACAGGGCAGGACATTAAAGATCCTAAGCCACGCATTTCATTTAGCCGACGCAGGGAAGTCAAATCAACACAAGCAACTCTCAGGCGTTGCATTAAAGACACAACTCACATTATAAGAGAAACAAGGTACATGGTTACAGGAAGTCATGGAGACCGGTCACAACTGACAATCAGGTGTCAAGCACTGCAGGAAAGATGGTTGCTAGGAGAAGGGCTGCTAAGCTCCTTGCCATGGCAACGTTACTGTATGGTTTGTTTTTTTGCATAGCCTGGCCTTTCTATATTTTCGCCTCCATTCGGCTGGTGACAGTTTCTCACTTCTACACCCGACGAGCTGTGTCTTGGGGATCCTGGTACAGAGTGATTTGTGGGAGCCATTGAGGTGGGGGCCCACACTTCTGTGGTGGATAAAGTGGGTCTCCATTCATATGTAGAGCACTCGGAGCTCCTTCGGAATGAGCAGCTCTACACAAAACCCAAGGACATTCTGTAGACACACCTGTGCTTGTTTATCAATGAAACCTGACGTTTATTAAGAACATCTGGTATTCCCACATGCTTTAAAGAAAATAGCTCAATCTCTCGGCTAACTTCCTCAGTGTCAATAAATCTCTTAGCAGTCTGATTGTCTGTGACGACATTTAAAAACGGGCACTTGATCGGTCGTCAGTCGCACCTAGCCCTGACAGGTCTTTCAGTTCAGCCAGACTTCACGTATTTGAGTTTTGTGAGAAAGTGACTGCGGCAGAACAGCACCTGACTTTCAACCATTCAAGAGCAGGAGCACCATGAGTTCAGAAGGATGTCTGCGATTACTCACCCCTTTTACTCCTTTCAGGTCTCCCTTCAGCAGACTGTCCAGTGGAAAGGTGATGATGTTGTTCATGTTCTGAAACTTTGGAGAAAAAAAATAAAGAGTTAACAACTGACGATGGAGATAAGAGAGTTTCATGTAACAACCCCTTGTAGGTGTTATTCATATCTGTCCTGGGTGTGACTGTGGCCCAGTGCTCTTTTCATTACACACTATTTTCATTCACAAAAGGTTTCTGCACATTGCGGATTCAAAAGCTCTTCATCTCAACTCAACTTTATTGTCATTAAGCTTACACAGGTGCATAGTATAATGAAAAGTGTTTCTCATTAGTCGCTCAGGTGCAGTATATAAATAGGACAGAATATAAGACAACAGACAGTAACACAACAGCAATAACAGTAACATGTAATAACATAAATAACATGTAATCAAGTAATCATGTGGACTGAAGACCACTTCTGAAACGTGTTTAGACTGCTAGAGTTTTTTAAATTCAGTGGTCAGTATGCGCTAACAGGGACAGCAGACGCAGTGAAAAGATGTCGAAACAGCCTACATTTGTGGACCAGCACGTCTGCCAACTAATGAACAAAATCTGTATGAGGCTGGGTGAGGGATACTGACACTGGGATCTCAGACCCTCTCCCTCCTGCTAGGATCTCCAAGAGAAGGCAGGACTACTAAGGAGCACAAGGATGAATGAATAAGGTGACTGGCTTGCCAGGGGTGCGGGCGATTCTTGAAAAGGGATTCATTCTCCGAAGGCTCACCAGGTTTTTGAAAAGTGCAGTAAGCTCTTTCGTGAACACGGAGAACTTGAGGAAGGCCGATCCCAAATCGGGGTCATCCCTGAAGACGCAGTTCTCCCCAAACTTTTCGAGAGCCTGGGTGTACTGCTCCTCATTCTCCACGTGTGCTGAAAAACAAAAAAAGAGCAGGGGTCCCCGAACATTAAAACAGGCATTTCAAACTAGCACACTAGCCCAAGGCCTTCAGTTCGGTTACCGGTCAGGAAAACCCTGGGTTTTATGTGAGAATTTAGGTGTTGCTGTATTCCATTCCATTTGAAAGGCGCTATGATACTGTAGATCATTATATGACAATATGACCCAAATTGGAAGGCGTGGTGCAATTTGATTTTTACCAAAAATAATCTTCATTTTAGGCCACTCTTTTCAAAGCCTCTTGCGGCTGAAATGCTGGACTGACCAGGGAAATGAAGAGCCGCGCACAGTGGGATAATGTGGTAACCAGGACAGTTAGGCTGCCATCTTGCAGCGCAGATCACAGACTCCATCACTTAAGTGTCACACGGAGGACAGTACGGGCAACTCACACAATAATGTGACCTCTTGCCCCCACCCAGCCATACAGATAACCCCACTCTCCGCTACAGAAGGCCCAGTTCAACATCATGAGAAAACGGCCTCATACGTTTGTGGTCCATCAAAACCGGAGGTGGACAATGAACTGAGACCTGAACACATTTCACAAAGTGTTACGCACAGGATAGAGCTACTTAAAACTCCCCCCTGGAAAATCTTTCACCTGACAAAGCACTTGATCTAGCGTAGGTTCTCAGTCCTCATACTACGGCGGTACCTCCCAGTTTTTACGATTGGATTTTCATTCATGTATTTCCACTCGGTGCAAAACTAAAAAAAAAACTGGTGAATCCCCTAAAAGTTTTTTTATAAGAGGATTTCCATGATGTCTGTCTAACATGCAGTGGCAATGTTTGTCCAAAGCAATCCTCACGTCATATTTTAGAAAAGACTCATTACTGCACGGCAAACTTTAATTCGCAGAGAACAGTGTGACAACTTCACAAACGCTGTACGATTCAGTCCATTACTACAGCCCTTGACACCCCATAACTGCAAAACTAAGTAGAAGTCCTCACAAGTCCTATAGTCATTAGGAATGACTTCAGCTGTAAACAAGAAAACACTATTAAAAACAGCACTTTGTTCAATAACTGAGCATCAAGGCGCTTTCCCAACCAGCCTAATACCTTGCCTTCCTCACTAAACTGTCTTCCAGGAGCCATGCTTACATAGTACTAAGTACACATTTATATGCAGTTTTTGATGGGAAATCACAGTTTAAAAGCATTTTTGAATCTGTTTCTCTCATTAGCATAAATACTCAGTATGGGTGGAAAGTAATACAGTTGTCAGGGTCTTCTGAGTCTTTGGTTGGGTGCAATAAAACCAGCAGACCCGTTTCCAAAGTGCAAATCATGTTTATTTCCTCCTCAGGCATTCCTAATGTACATACTAAAGAAATACTAATGCAATAGTAAAGCCTGACCAAGGTGCTCTAAGGTGCAATTGATTATTCTGATTTGTCAGTCCAAGATTACTTACAAACGTACTCAAGCTGTTCGTAACCCAGTGAAGGAGCTCCAACAAGGACTCTTGAAAGAGTAAAATACTGTAAAGGCTGCTGCATAGTACAAGCAGCAAAAAAAAAACAGCCATTAATGCCGAGGTCAGGGTTCAGAAAACTCTGCTATGTTGTCCTTAACTCCAAACACAATCATGAGATCACAACAAATTAAGTTTTATGTTTGGAAACGCTTTCTGATGATGGGAGAGGGTGCTGCAACACAGAGCTGCTTTCTGCTCCTCTTGCCTAGCTGCTTATTGAAAAATAAAAAGAGCGCTTTTTAAGGAGCGCTAGACTTCTTTGTTTTCCGGGTCACATGGTTTTAAGTTTGGCCACCCATTTAGGTTTGATTAGTGGGCATTATGATGAAGATTTTTTCAAACAAATTCAAATGTGAAAATTCAACCAGCTTTACTGGTATGACCAATGAATTTCAGCGTGGCCAAAGCAGTGACATTCAGAAGTCGTTCCCCAGGAAAACAACAGTCCTTCCTTCAGCCTCCGGGAGCCCGTCAGGCTGTGGCAGAAGGAAGCTCTCGAGCTGCAGCCTGGGAAGAGGTGCCCCCTCCTCTGGGAGGACTGGAAGCTGCTCTGATTCCGGCAGGTGGGAGAATTCCTGGATTAGACTCTTTATTTAAGGGAAGAATGTTGGTCTAATCTTAGATTTTTTCTTGCAGTGCAGAGGAAAGTGCATCTCTGTGTTTGTTTCTCCGTGC